GTGCCTTGGAATGTAGAAAGAAAAGATCAGAGCAAGCGTTTGTTCATTATTACGTTATAGGAGGGTAGGCATCGGCACGTTTAAGATGGGAGGGAAGCAGGGGGGCAATACAAAGCAATGGACCGCACCTCATAACAACAGGTGTGACAAATCTGTTGCTGAGATGTGTAGGCAGGCTTCTGAGGTACAGGATGTTTAGAAAAAGATCGATTTTTATGGATTATATGAAGTAATTGCAGTGTTAAGTTTGGTTTTCATATTAAATTCTCTATAGGAAAGTTTGGATATAATGACTCCGTTTAAAATGACATATCGTTTATTATGACTGATTCTCAAGAAATCACATCCGGCTATAGTGACCCAAATGATTAATAATAACATTTTCGCCCATTTTTCTGGCCTTTCTTATGTATATTGATATTACAATTCATTGTTCTTTTTCTTTTTCTGTTAATAAATATATACAATTTGTAGTTTTTCTCTCTATTAAACTAAATAACTAACCAAAATAGAAAATTGTGCATATTCTAAGACTATGCTTTGTATCACGCTCGCTTAGTATGACGTGTTTGTCATTAACCTTCTATGTCATTATAAGCGGATTCTATTGTACTTAACAAAAATTTAAATGATGGTTTAATTGTTTCCTTTTTATTTTTCTTCGATTGTCTTGTCCTAGGTAAAGTGTTACAAAATTTTCTTTTTGTTTCAGGGCACGGAAAAACTGGAAACGTATTATCCTAACATAACGAAGCCGTATGTGCGAAGCGAGGCTGATCAATGTACGTACAAGCGTTACAGTACAGAGGGTTGGCCCGGGGGTACGCCGCTCCTCGAACTCAACGGTAATCATATAGAAGGTGCCGCGAGAAGTAAAGTGTCGCGAAGTAGCGTTCCCACGGGCGAAGAATCGTTAGGATTAAGTAGGATAAATTCTGCGGTCTCGAGAACGATTTCGCATATCGCGACTGCGCTCCTGACAACTCCCTTAATTTTTATCCGTTGAATGTGATCTAGCTTTTCTCCAGATTTTTCATTTCCTTTTTGATAGACTACTAGCTGGACATTTTTTATGACGTGTGCACTTCCGTATCGCGTCAGTAGCTCTGCTGTGAAGATAATCATTCAATGGTATAAGTAATAAAAAGGAAATCGAAAGTGTTAGGATGACTTTAAAAAAAAAAGATGATGGAGACGTGCGGCGATGATTACGTGATATAAATATATGTATAAAATATACAATGTAGGTGGACAAACAAAAAACTATTGCAATCGATATCGACTTTCCACGACCCTCTGACAACGTCTGCTGATGTAATAACATGTATATGTGTGTATGTGAGTGTATAAATACCTATTATATACGATAGTAATCACTCCTTTGATCCCACTCGAAAGACGTTGTGTTTAAACAGATCGTTATATTCTAGTCCTTATTATTCTGACGATCGATCGTTACAATGGATGGGAAAGAANCTTTTCTTAAGTCCTAGTATTTTTGTGGATTAAATAAATAAATAAATAAACAATAAATAAATAATGGTGTGAATCTATAAAATACACCAAAACCTAATCGAGAAGTGTTTGTAATTTTATGATGGTTTGGTAAATTATTACTGAAATTCCAAATTATAAAAAAATCTAAGCACAGTGTATAGGATCTAGTGTTAATGACAGACTTTGAATAAATACTACCATACAGTATTTGTAGTACCCCAAATAAATATTTTTAGTGTTTCAGCTTGATCATTATATTAATTTTTATCCACAGTCTCACAAAAGTCTATAATTAAGTGTTTCTCGTCATTTTGAACTTGAGTGTAGGTGTAGTATATTTACTATGTTAAAAAACGCAAAGCTTTTTGGATACTTTGAGATTTTAATACAACCGTTTTATTGGTAAGAAACTCATATGACCATACTCTTCTTATTCCAAATTATACTGAGAATCGATTATTGTTAATCAATTTTAATCATATAAGCTGTGCCTAGAGTTTAACATTTAGAACTGCAGAAATGGCTAGTAATGGAGAAATTGCGTAACATTTCTTATTATGCCTTAATTAGTAATGCACTTCAATTCTTCTTTAATTTCTACTCCAAATCTATTATCACCATATATGTATATATACTAGCTTTTCAATTTTCTAAAACAAAATAATTGTATGATAACGAAAGTAAGTGTATAGCAGTAAAATTTATACAAAATATTAAGGAATGGACCACAAATATATAAATAAATTACTAAATAAATACGTAAAACATGGAAGTGTTGTTAAATCCCCAGTCATCAAAGCATAGATTGAAATTTCCTTAGGGTACCAAAATTGTTCTTGTTCGTGATTCAAATCCAATTCCACCTGATATTACCTACAATATTAATTACTATACCAAAAACTATCACAATACACACTACACAATGTTGTAGTACTTGTAAAATAACCATCCATTCAAGGCAACCCTCAAGTTGCAAGCATTGTAAACTTTTTGTTTGCCAAGAATCAGCTGATGGTACTTAACCTAAAATTGTAATATTAAATAAACACTTATCCAAGTAAGTACATAAATGTGATATTACACACGCTTTATAACAACGAATCATTCCAATAAAACTCAGTAATAATCCTTTTTGCAGTTATTTATATTGGAATCAAGTAGTATTCATTATATTCTGTTCCAAGAATTCAGGATTAAACGACAAACCCTTCATTTAAATGGTTAAATGTATGTAATAATGCTTGGTACATACGCTTTAAAGAAAAAATCTTTTCAGCAAGCTCAAATTGCCCATGTGGCACCATAATTGGGGCCCAGTAATAGTTGAACAGGGATAACCTACACAGTTAACAATTACGTTACCAATACGTTCTGTTAAAGATATATTGACAAGTACTTGCTCCTTTAAATTAAGGGATGGAATTCAACCACGACACTTAGAAGGAANTCTTCAAAATTTTATGCAATTCAGTTTAAGTTACTTAAAAAGGTAGAAATAAAGCAAGGTTTTTTGAGGTTTTCAACAATTTCTGACATGTTTTGCAGACATTCATTAATAAGTTGTTTTCGCTTGAACTCTTATCAATTAAAATGTATTATTTATAGATTTCTGTTAAGGTTTGACCATTTTTGCCCTTTAAAATCATTAATTGATGAACAATAATCGCGATTATATATTGCGTTGCTTAACTTTTATTAAATACGTTATCAATAAAATCATAGTAGTTTATTGTAATCTATTATCAGAAGGTGTAGGTTGGGTTGCCTATACTTTAACTAAACAAAAATTGAAGGTTTTTTATTTATTGCTTTTCCATTTCAGCGTTTTAAAACTGTAAATTGATAAATACAGACTTGAGATAGTGACTACTTCGAGTGCTTGTTGAAGATGAGAGAGCTTGCGCCCTATAAAATTGGCGGATTTTAGTTTCTTAATTATTTAAATTATTATGAAATTAGACTGACTATTTTAGCACGTTAAAACCTAAAATAGATAAACTCACTCTCTTATTCAATTTACTATGAAATTAGACTTATAAATTATGTGAAGGATACTTTATTCCAATGTTAAATAAAACAACAAAGTTTCATTATTCTAATTTATTATTTGATCGCTTACTATACACTCCTGGTTATTCGTACATATCAATATAATTTTACATTTGGATAAAATAATACAAAGTATTCTATATATGTAATTGTTATTGTACATATCAATATAATTTTACATTTGGATAAAATAATACAAAGTATTCTATGTATGTAATTGTTATTACAACAAATAATAATTTTCATAAAAGGTATTTGAACTAAGAGTACTATAGCTTACGCATTACAAGTATTGACAATTTACAAGTAAAAACAAATAAAACCTAGACTTAGAGACACTTATTCAGCTTAGATACTAATTAAGATTATTTTACATCTCAATCCTATCGTATACTGATGCATTTGAAAACGAATTTCTTCTAGTTTCTCTTACATAAGCTCCATAATTCTTACTTCTCATTCTTTCTGGACTTATCCTTATCAGCAGGTACCTGTCTGAAGGATGAAATTAAATTAATACACAAAAAGTAACAATAGCTGATTACAGTTACACATATATTCTGATTTTTGAATTTGTTCACACAGAAAAATACGTTTAAGTTTTTAGAACTTTAGTAATAATTTGTTAGTGGACTAGTAAATGAAAAGCATTTGAAATTCTCAGCTTTTCGAAATCATTTTATCAGTAAATAATTCGCATCTTCTTCATATTAATCTGTTTTTAAAATATATTATTACACCGTGGTGTTTGACACACTTTTCTTAAGTCCTAGTATTTTTGTGGATTAAATAAATAAATAAATAAACAATAAATAAATAATGGTGTGAATCTATAAAATACACCAAAACCTAATCGAGAAGTGTTTGTAATTTTATGATGGTTTGGTAAATTATTACTGAAATTCCAAATTATAAAAAAATCTAAGCACAGTGTATAGGATCTAGTGTTAATGACAGACTTTGAATAAATACTACCATACAGTATTTGTAGTACCCCAAATAAATATTTTTAGTGTTTCAGCTTGATCATTATATTAATTTTTATCCACAGTCTCACAAAAGTCTATAATTAAGTGTTTCTCGTCATTTTGAACTTGAGTGTAGGTGTAGTATATTTACTATGTTAAAAAACGCAAAGCTTTTTGGATACTTTGAGATTTTAATACAACCGTTTTATTGGTAAGAAACTCATATGACCATACTCTTCTTATTCCAAATTATACTGAGAATCGATTATTGTTAATCAATTTTAATCATATAAGCTGTGCCTAGAGTTTAACATTTAGAACTGCAGAAATTGTTACTAATGGAGAAATTGCGAAATATTTCTTATTATGCCTTAATTAGTAATGCACTTCAATTCTTCTTTAATTTCTACTCCAAATCTATTATCACCATATATGTATATATACTAGCTTTTCAATTTTCTAAAACAAAATAATTGTATGATAACGAAAGTATGTGAATAGCAGTAAAATTTATACAAAATATTAAGGAATGGACCACAAGTATATAAATAAATTACTAAATAAATACGTAAAACATGGAAGTGTTGTTAAATCCCCAGTCATCAAAGCATAGATTGAAATTTCCTTAGGGTACCAAAATTGTTCTTGTTCGTGATTCAAATCCAATTCCACCTGATATTACCTACAATATTAATTACTATACCAAAAACTATCACAATACACACTACACAATGTTGTAGTACTTGTAAAATAACCATCCTTTCAAAGCAACCCTCAAGTTGCAAGCATTGTAAACTTTTTGTTTGCCAAGAATCAGCTGATGGTACTTAACCTAAAATTGTAATATTAAATAAACACTTATCCAAGTAAGTACATAAATGTGATATTACACACGCTTTATAACAACGAATCATTCCAATAAAACTCAGTAATAATCCTTTTTGCAGTTATTTATGTTGGAATCAAGTAGTATTCATTATATTCTGTTCCAAGAATTCAGGATTAAACGACAAACCCTTCATTTAAATGTTTAAATGTATGTAATAATGCTTGGTACATACGCTTTAAAGAAAAAATCTTTTCAGCAAGCTCAAATTGCCCATGTGGCACCATAATTGGGGCCCAGTAATAGTTGAACAGGGATAACCTACACAGTTAACAATTACGTTACCAATACGTTCTGTTAAAGATATATTGACAAGTACTTGCTCCTTTAAATTAAGGGATGGAATTCAACCACGACACTTAGAAGGAAATGAATTTTTATACACATTTCTCATAATTTCAAAATTCTAGATAAAAGTAGTCTAATCATAATAGTATGAAAACAAATGCAAAAAAGTTCACCCAAATTACCGCAATAAACAACAGTCAAACGGTTACGGAAGTAAGCTAAAATTGTAATTTAACTTTACAATAATTAAAAATTCGAGTGATATTTGGGTAGTTCCGTCACATAATACGTTTGCATTTACATTACACGTATTTTAATTATTTATTTTTAAATATAAAATTATTCTCTCGGCTGCAAAATAGTTGTTATAGAGCCACTTCCTTAGGGGAAAGTCTAGTAACTCTTAGTGACTTTTCTGGGGGATACCTTTTGCTACTTATGTTCTCCGGCTACCAAATTCAGAAAATTTTCAAACGCTTCGAAAAGCGGGCGAT